CGACTTTGCTATTGATTATTCTCGCCCGATTACCCCGACCTCTAAAGTAGTTGGACCTATACTTCCTAAGCCCGCAAAACCATTGCCTGATGATTTACAGCAGTTCATGGCGAGCAATCCTAAAGGAACCGTGCTAGTCTCGTTTGGCTCAGTCGTAACTGCCTTAAAGTATGTGACCAATATCACTATGTTATTTGATACCTTTGGTCAGTTACCATATAATTTCATTTGGAAAAATACAGAGGAAATTCCTGATAACATCGCTCCCAATATTAAAATTGTGAAATGGGTACCTCAAAACGATATTCTTGGCCATCCAAACACCAAGGCATTTATAACACATTGTGGTATGAATAGCCTTCTTGAAGGTGCATATCATGGTGTACCTATGGTTGGGATTCCAGTTGCTGGTGATCAAGTAATTCACGCAACAAAAATATCATCTAAACACGTAGGTGTAACACTCAATGTTAAAGAAATGACACAAAGCGATCTGTATTATGCAATTATGAATGTTACTACCCGACAAGACATTATAAATAGCTCTATGCAAGTTTCCAAACTAATTCAAAATAGACCGAATGGTAGAACGCCTGTGGAAGAAGCTGCTGATTGGATGGAATATGCATTAAATTGTGATGGTGGCGAATATTTGCGAACTGAGGAGTATAATCTGCGATGGTACGAACTGCATTTAATAGACGTTTATGTAGTTTTATTAGTGTTACTTGCGATTACGGTTAAAATTTTGCAGTTGATTTGGAGAGGTGTAAAAGCCCTCTGCTGCGCCAAAGCTCCTAAAGAGAAAATTTCATAATGTAAATGTAGCTTATGCTTGTAATTATTTACTCCTAAATTGATTGAGATAAATAGCTATGGCTCTCCGTTAAGTAAAATATTGGCTTTATTCTATACAGTCAAATATGATTATGTAAAACTTTAACGCTGACTTCAATTTATGAAATTATTTCATGCATTACAGTATTAATATGCCAATTTTGGTCACAGTTACTACATTTAAAGGCATCCATTTTACATTCCCTATTTGTTCTCTATCAATGTATCATTGCGTTCATACCATGTACGGATAGATTGAATATTATGTAACGCCTCTGTAAACTACAGTTTATTTTTAAATTATAATTACCACTGATATCAGCTAGACTAGCTATGTATAAAATTGCAATTTTTAAGTACAGGTGAGGTTCAAATTTATTCTTAGAAAGTTCATTTGTTAATACTATATAATATAGTTAATACTGACGACCATTGGTAACTTACTTTTTGCATTGAAAGATGATACATCGAATACCCCATTAACGAATGTTGGGGATAATTTGCTGTTGAATATAAGTTAGAGTTAGGATATTTGCGAGTAGTATAACGAGTAACTTGGTATGGTATTCAAGTTGGCAGCATTAGATTGTTAATATTGACCACTAACATAAATATAGTAATATGCATTGATCTCTCCATTTTCTTGCCTGTTATGCTATTTAAGTCAGACATATAATAACAAGCAAATGACGAAATGTTATTCCTGAAGTCGAAATCTTTGATAGAATTCTAAAATATCCAATGCGTTAAAGTGGCATTACAACACTCTCTTCGCTTCGTTGTTATTAGTGGAATACATTGTCTTTCACGTTTGAAATTGCAGCAAAATTACCAATATGTAGAGATGATTTGATCAGCACAGTATTTTAGTCCTTTTAAATAGAAATTTTGGTGATACTATAGCCTACAGTAGGTTAGTTGTTCTGCCTCAATTAAAGGATTACTGTAGGTATATGTATACTAACACCAACGCAAAATGATCAACACATTTTTCAAACATCGAAATGCTTGTATAGTCAATCAATTTCAATCCTGTTATAGTAACTTATTACACTCTTATTTTTCTCTATATCTTGTAATTAAGTATTGTAGAAAGGTTTACGCCAAAGTCTACTAGTTCATCGGGTGGCATTGGATGAAACTAAAATTCTATCATCCTATTTTCACTTTATTACAAAAGTTTCTTTTTACAGTAGCTTGTAAGTAATATGATGGACATCATTTCATTTATACTACAGCCATATACTGTACAACAGCTTGGCCATCATTGTATGAAGATTGCATAATCTCAGTACTTTGTTTTTTTGCATACTGACTATTTGCATAGGAAGGAAAATGTTCTACTATCCAAGCGTGTTGCTACTCTATAGCTTGCTAACCTTTGAAGAGCTATATATTGCTTACTTTAACTATCTCTTCGGCTAGAATATATATGTTTACAGGCCCAATCTATCCAATGTTCTGGTTTTACTGATGCCTAGTAGATAGAAAAAGTGTAAAGTAGGTGTATTTGTTGACCGTTCATCCAGCAAATCCTGTAACTTGCGTATTGCGATAGAGGGACGATTATTGCAACAATGTTAGGGTTGCCAACCCATTCGGCGTTTAAAATGATATCGATTTAAGATTGTTTTAACTGGTTGAAAGACTTACCTGCTAAGCAAGATGAGAATGCTAATAATACCAAGCAATATCTATAAAAAGCAGAGATTATTAATGAAGTATAAGAAAGAAACTATCTATTGCAAGTAATTTGAAGTTTTCAAACTGAAGGTATACTGTCTAGTAGCTATCGATGACGATCTGCTTTGTACAAATTAGGCTGCCTCATTTTGAACATGATATAAGTGTTGGCTTAAATAGATATTAGATATTAGTACCGGCCCAGTCAGTCCAATGCTCTAGCTTTACTGATGCCCAGTCGATAGAAAAAGTATAAAGTAGGTGTATTTGTTGACTGTTTATTCAACGATGTGGTTCATCTAGCAAATTATGTAACTTACTGTACATATTATGATAGAGGGACGATTATTGGAATAATGTCAGGGTTACTAACCCATTCGACGTTTAAAATGATAGCGATTAATTAAGACTATTGTCACTTGTTGAAGGACTTACCTATTCATTAAACTAGATGAGAATGCTAACACCCAGCAATATCTATAAAAGATACAGATTAACAAGTATAAGAGAAATTCAGTTCACAACTAAAAATGTCAAATACGCAATTGGAATAATGTTAGGGTTTGCGTTTAAAATGATATCAATTAAGATTGCTTTAACTAGTTGAAAGACTTACCTGCTAAGCAAGATGACAATGCTAACACCCAACAATATCTGTCAAAAGCACAGATTAATAAGCATGAGAGAGAAATTCGTAGTATGGAAAATGAATGTGAGAAAAAAAGATGTTTGATGGTTCAATGCCATTTCGCGTGTAGAGGCAGTAGAAAAAGAGGAAGACTAAGTAGAGAGTCGGTGCTGCAAGCTACTATGCAAAATATCTTGTCACCCTATAGAAGTAGGAATCGAGTCTACAGCGGACAATATTATAAGCAAAATATCAACCGAGTAACCTGAGTTGGACTGAGAAAGTATCACACAGGCACGCTGCTTACTGCATGCTCGCCATCAACTGTTCCTGGCTCTAAGTGAAATTACTATTTCAAAATTAAAATTAATTTTTAATTAATTAAATTACTATTTTACCTTATAAACTGTGGATAGCAAGGTGAGAAACAGAATGCAAGCAGGCAATCTCACCTTTGGGGTCGGGAAAAAGTGGAAGACAACATGGACAACAAGGTAAGACGATTTTCTTTTTGCAATATCCCTTCCAGTCATGATCGCCTTTGCTAGCAGAAATGTTGTACCAAATACATTGACTATTTTATCTTCTCATGCTATTTTGACCAAGAACTTGGTGAGATTGTTTCTCTTTCAAGTCCGTCTTTTACTGCAATTTGCAATAAACATTGAACTAGCTGCACAATTGCATTGATTGCAATACTATTAATTTTGTTTTGATTTATTTTTGGGTATTGGTTGAACTGACTATTGGGGTTTGCTTTATAATTGACGAGAAAGTCCATGATAGACTGCAATTTCGCAAATCATTTTCTTTATCCCTATTTTTATTTTCTCATCCTATTTTACTTTCATGTTAATCCTGAATCTTTTTACAAATGTTTTCGTTTTCTCTTCAAATCTCTCTTTCACTACCATTTATAATTGGAATTGAACCAACTCAACCATTGCATTCGCCCCATGGACGAATATGCAATGGTGTTTTCCTTTATTTATTTTTTGGTATTGGTTTTACTGGCATTAGGGGTATACTTTATCCATCTGTACAGTACACACATCCATCATCTTGATTGATAGATGTGATGTTAATTTAGTTTATTAATAGCTGAAGAGATCGCCATCTACAGTATTACAAGACTGTCATCAATATCTACTTTAGACTAGATGGGATGCTTAATGATAGATAGGCTGCAATTATGCAATCCATTTTCTCCATCCCTATGTTGATCTTTATGTTCTCCTCCTATTTTACCAATGTTTTGTTACAGATGTTTACATTTTCTCTTTCAAGTCGCTCTTTGACTACGATTTGTAATAGACATTAAACTAACTCAGCAATAGCATTGACCATAGACTAGACATAGACTACTTTTAATCATGCTTTGCTATATTTATTTTTGGGTATTGGTTTTACTGACATTGGGGTATACTTTATCCATCTGTACACTATACACATCAATCATCTTCATTGATTATGGAAGTAATATTGACTTAGTTTATTGTCACTCTCGTTAAATTGCATTGGGTATAAGATACAAGATTAGATTTACATTTCATGCAAATATCATGTCTTTTTCACTGGGGTTACTAAGCAGTAATCCTGATCACTCCTGATGATGAGTTGAGAGTGTTGAAGATTCCATTGCATGTCCCATATTCTGAAGTGACGGAATGGTAGAGTAATTTGTGTTTGGGGGCTATAAATATTCAAACTAGATCGATTTTGATATAGGATTAACTGCTTGTCCGACCATAGATTTTCATGGTTGAAGAATTGTGTGATATGATGGAAGTATTTGATTTTGTCTTTGTATCTTTTCATGCATAAATTTCCATCTTGGTCGAGTATCTATAGGTATTGAATTTTATGATTAGCACAACCTACGTTCAACAATGACGATGTCACATTGACTGTATCCAGTTATCGTTGTCTTACTGCTATATGGTCTCCATTTTCCAGTAGTAGCAAAAGATCGTCGAAACCCTATAATGAATTTAATGGAATGTAACGATTAGCTATGGACTAGAGTAGAGCTCATATTATAATCAACTCATTACAGTCGTTGTCATCCTCCTTCCAACTCATTTCCATATTGATCATATCCCTGCGATCATTATGACTTACTGGTACATTAGCAATCATTTCGGCATCTTTCTCTCCCCATACATCTACTAATTTTTCTTTATTCACACGAAGAGGCGAATGTCCAACCGCAGCAGGTTGATTAGAGTTAGAATTCATCATTATTTTACTGATTAATCCTTCCTTCCTTTGATACTCAATATTTTGCAGTAATTGCGTACGATGTTCACCATCCCCAAACTTGTAACACTACAATAAATTCAAGTTAGAAATGTCGTTATTGTTCGTCTCCATTTGCAATAGACTTCAAAGTCGACATTCAAGGCTATTTTCGACATGAAACTGAACAGTCAATTTATAGATGGTTCGAGTTTAGAATGGAAATTACATGGAAATAAATTATTCAAGCTTACTTTCAAGCTACATGCATCATCTTCCTTTCTTTCCCAAACATAAAGATAATCATCATCAACATACACAACACGAGCATAATCACTCAATGTCAGTCGATAAACGCTCTTCTTTCCGGTCGTAAGGTTAACAGTTATTACGTATGAGGGGAATCTCTAAAATAAATCAAATAAATGAATCCTTCGACCAATTGACCTCCAACGTAATTGTAAAATCACTTCAACAACTTCTTATGTTAGCTAATAAGCATTCTGATTTTCATCATCTTCTTCTAAATAATACTACCGTCATTTTCATACAAACTTCAAACTGGTATTTTCAACATACAGGAAAGAGAATGAGTATGTAATCCTTCTTTCTATATCTGAAGCGTATCCCATCTTCAGCAATCGATTCTTCTGCAAGTATTCCATTGATTAATTCCCTGTACTTTCTACAATCTTCTATACCTACAAACTCGATCAGCTGTAACCAATCAATATTGTCCAATTCAATTCAATTGAGCAGAGGATTGAACAAAGTCGATAGAGCTACTAGTGTTGATGAAAGCTTAACCTACATTAAATGTGTTGACGGTAGTTTTGTGGTTACGTTGGGGTCTTTCAAGATCAACTGATTTTGTTTGAGAGATATCTTGCCAAGCAATTTTATCGCCTTAGTTTAATAAAAACGATTGTGACCATGAATGTATGCATGATTAAATTAGAGTTGTTGTACAACCGTCGTGTCTTACCTTGTAAATTATATTCATATACATTAGGTTCATCATAAATAAGCAATCGATTACTACCAGGAATAAACATTGATCGACCATATTGATCAACTCTAGCACGAGATTGGACTTGATCACAACTCATTTTGAGTATGAGTTTCTACATATTACAGTATTACAATATAGGACTTATATTACTGCACAATAAAATACTATGCTGATCTACTTTATGACGCATTATCAATATGAGTAACCCAATATTGCACTAACCTTCTTAAAACAGTCAATAGCGATCATTGACTGATCGCCTGATACCAAAATATCAACAACGTTTCCAACATCATGTAATATTGGCCGAAACTGATTTTGAAATTCGATATCTTGTTCCATTTTTAACAGACCAATTGTACTACTTCTAGAGCTGGTGTATGACAATATCATATAGGCTGCATCACGGTAGATGTTGATGTACCTTAAGGGCAAGCCATGTTGAAAATCATTGGTAGCAAAGTACCGATCATCATCCTTTGCATGGATGAAAGCAGGTACTTTGAATGATCGACAAGTCCATTGCTGTGCATTCCACATCTATCCATCAAATTGATACAAATAGCTTTTATCAATTGGATCTAAGAGACGATATTTGACTTTACTGCATTTAGTCAATGGTAGCTTACTTCAATTTGACATTCATTAATCCACTTTTCCGGATCGTCACGTTCATAGTCTTCAAACTTCCCTCGTTGACTTCGATATTCTTCCCACAACAAGACACAAGCACTATCTTGCACTAGTACCCATCGACAATATTCTATTTTGTATTGGCGTGATATTTGCTTATTTGTAGGTCTAATACAATTCCCCTCAATCTTCCAAATCTAATAATACGTAGCACAACAACAGTTGAACACAACAGTTTTCGATCACTTGGCGTACTTAATTAATATTCGCTTAAACTCATATTCACTGCTAACCCTAACTTCACGGAAATCTCCAGAGAGTGTCATGATCACTTGGGTTTGAGATTGAGCAGGGCAAAATTGTACGGAATCAAAGTCAGTGTTAACGCCTTCCCCTTGATCGTTTTGGGCAAAGCTTATATCTTCATTTTTATCGAGATCGTAAACGATCCACTCGTGCTAAGAATATTCAACAAATGAATGGCGAATTAACTTACCATCAACTCAATCCTACTCTAATTGCAATGTGCTACCTTTCTGCTTAATTGCAGGAAGGCTGCAGTCCGACCGTCAGCTGAGATTTCAACTTCTCTAATATACATGCTTGGTTTTGATATTTCAAGCACAGTTTGTGATGTTTGATAATCTTCAATCTATTAAAGCAATTGCGATAGTGAGCAAGACATGAATTGACATGAATGACATGATAGAGTAACGAGTAATCAGCATTGATTTTATTGGCAGTCTATGGCTGATTGGATTGTATTTTCAGCACTAGTTCAACCATAGTCAATTCTAATTCTTGGCCTTTGCCGTTATATTATTGTATTTTAACATACCACAATTTGGCAGTCTTCTTCATAATTATTTTGAGTACCAATTATTCGCAAAGGTCCAAAGTCGGGATTCGAAACTGATATATGGTCATCGCCGCGATTCTTACCGATTGCTTTGCATGCATCATAAGTACATCGAGTTGTTGCACTAGTTGAACACCTATTTGCAAGTCAGAATCGACAGTATAATGTAAATTACAGTAGGTAGTACTGCTATGGATTGATGAAATTGGAAGTTGTTTACTTACCTTGACATGCTCCAATAACTTTCACCATTTCGCACATTTTCCTTAGCTAATTCCAAAGCTCGCTGTTTTATCCAACTATCTGACATGCCAAACCACAAGATCATTTGAAGGACATTACTTTTGTTTACATCTAGCCAAGGTTGTCGCTGCTTGAGAAGCTGCTTGAGTTGATCGAAATCCTCCCAGTTCTGAATGCAAATTAACCATTAAAACGAAATTAGTCGTATTTTGAAAGAAAGCGCTGGAATGACTAGCAGTCAATTTATAATTATAAACATGAGTAGTATTGACAGTGCTGGCTTTACAATGTCTAGAAGTAACTTGTGGCAGGAGTAATTATGGTCAATTGTAAATCAGCTATCAAGACTATTTCACAATCTTCGCCTAGTTACCAAAGTCATGTCTTAGTCCTTAGTAGCAATTACAAGTTTATTTTCTGCCTCAATCTCTTCAGCGACATGATGATGACGGACTGCTACCTTATATTCTACTGTACAAGTAACCGAAAAAGTGAGGAGTAACGTGATCAATTCGTCCATGAAGCATAAATAGCATCCCTAACCCAACTCAATAGGACTCTCCATCTTGCTATTATTGTATTGCCGCATATTAAGTCATTAAGCGACGGCGTGATCATTTATTACGTTAATCAAAACATGATAAAATATGGACATTAGTAAAAGCGACTGTCCAACTACACTTTAAGCATGCAAATACTTGTATAGTGATAAAAATGACGCAGCCCGATTTGTACAAAGTAGATCGTCAGTTTGAAAACTGCAAATACCAATACCAGGTGGCGTAAGTAACTAGGATTTCTACATGTTATATCATTAATCACTACCTTGAACAATCTACACCAAAAAATGGATGATGGAATCATTTGTACACAGTTGTTATTTATCCATGGTATACAGAGATGAAAGTAATCAATTTTTTCATTCTATTGAATTAACTAACATCAATTCAGTATCCAACCTTATTTCTTTCATTTAGATAGTCGATGTAGTTTGTTAAATCGCAGTCTAGGTTATAGATCGTCCTGTCTATTTCAATTTTATGTTTCATCCAATCGAAATCGGTCATAATACTTTGAAGATCTTCATCATTTTCAGCTATTAAAGCATGATAAATAAGATTGGGATAGAAATAGCCATCATCAGGGAAGGTATTTCACTTTCCATCGTACTGCTTACGGTAACCATCGATCAACATTTTGTTTAGACTCTTGCGATAATCTTGGTTAGAATTGTGCGAGTAGAGTCGTTGCTGTAGATAGTCGACCATCAAATCGTGTAGAACACAGTGCGATCTTGACAAAGTAAGGGAAATCAATGGGATTAATACTATTTACAGTAGTCAATTCAAGGCTATCGATTGTAGCACTGCATTGAGAATAGATACAATTATAGCGTATATAAAACTATGTATTGAATAGCACTGGCTCGATTATTGAGAAGAACATATTGGATAGTCATTGCAGATGAATTGGATTACAGAATCAAATTACTTTAGACGATAGCAAATCATAATTTACTATCAAACTAAACAGTAGCTAATAGAACAGATTAATTAAATAAAAGTAGTTATTGGCTAGTTATCACTAAAAGAGAAAGAGAGCCTTATGGAAGAGGCTTAGAACTCAATTTACTGTGTAAATATTGTGTGCAATGTGCAGTGTGTATACAAGGCTTGCTTTGTAGACATACATTCGTAGATCACTTGAAGATGGAAGAGGAAAATAGTAAAAGCTGATTGACTACGTTAGGTAAGACAATTTATACTTCACAATATAATACTTGCATTATTAATGATGGAAGTGAAAGCGTCACAACTTCAAATTTTACTAGTAACCTTAATATGGTGATAATGATGATTTAGTAGATAAAAAAGGAGACAAAACTAATAGCGCAATATTATCAACCTACAACTAACGATTCATATTCATATTCTATACAGTATTTGCAGAATTAATAAAGCAGCCTATGTACAGTCGTCAAAACATAGAATACGCAATTATCGTAACTAGTATGACCTTTTTATAAATCGTGATAGAACCCAAATATATTAACAAGTAGATAAAAAGTATTATGCTCTGTATGTTACAGATTGCATATATCCTAACCAAAATTAACATAAAGCTGATATATGATAGCTTATTCGACATGCAAGTACTGTACAATCACAATCACTTTAAAATACTTATCAATCTGTTCATTCTATATCTAGAACTATATATGCCTACAAGGACACACTAGGTCATGCTTTGAATATTAAAATATAAAGCATTGCAAAATTGGACATCACTCAACTAACTTAACTTGGATATGCAGTATTCTACGCTAACCCAAAATTAAAAAATAATTAGTTTTCAAACATGATTAATGCTCTAAGTGTATAGCAATTTTACTTTGTGTCTATTTCAATACGTTCTACGAACCGAAACCTGATTATACTTACTTTTTTGCATCATATGTAAGTAATGATTTGTTATTCATTTCGCTTAAGTGAAGATGAGCTGCCGATTTTTCGCAGTCCCATAACGCTGCAACAGATTGAATAGGAATACTAACTCGCTTAAATACAGCTAGTTGCTCAAATAATCGTCTATTCTCATTATCCAAAGAATTAACACTTAATTCTAAAGTCCCGTATAGATTGAAATCGTAATGAGCTAATTTAGTTGGTGCAGACTTTTCGGCAATGATATCCTTTGCTTTATTCCACTCTTCATCAGTTTTTAAACCAAGACGACCAATTAAAGATATAGCTAATGGTAAACCTTGACAACTGTCGATAACATTCTTGATAACTTGATTTTGACGCAATATCTGATCACTATCGTTCCCGGCAAGTAACGCAAGCAGTTCTATAGCTTCGTCATACGTTAGATTTTCCTATACAAGAGAGTATATGAAATAAGAATTGTATTCATCATAATTATTCGGATAGGTTACTTAATGACAAAATAGAGAAATCATAGCGGTGAAGTTTTCTTCAACTATAATACTATACTGCAATATATAACAAACTGAATTACAAAACTAACCGGTAAACGGATGCAGTGATGGTCGAGCTCATTTTCTAGATACTTAAATCGTGAAGTAGAGATTGACTTCTTGGCAAAAGATAAGTATTCGTAATGATCCTTTTTCCAGATATCGTCAAAAATAAATAGCGTCTCGGATAGTCGGCGATTTGCTGTTATAAGAATAATCAAATACCTATTAATGCTGTACCTTAAATATAATTCAAGTTGACATGGAATTACTTATAAAAGGCTCAAAAATCACCTTCTAGACTAGAACTGAGATAAGCACAAATCTCGCTCATAGATTGAATATTCTCTTTCCATTCTATATTAAGTCTGATACCTAATGTCTTGAGTTTCTGGCGTAATTCGATATTAGATATATTGCCTAAATTAAGATAAATATGAATCACCATCGCTGCTTTAAACAAGCATAGCAATTTAACGACCTTCGACAGCGCGTACATTTCAACAAAGTTAAGTTTAAAGGATCTAACAAATATGTATCTCTTTTCCCATCTCATCTTGTATTTTAGAACACTTTACTTTATTCGCTCCAGTAGATAAAGGGTTCGTTAATAACATGATAATCCACTTATCGATAATCCCTAAAGATCTAACCCTAACAAAATTATGGTTTGATTTCATTTTATCTCTCGACGTAATATTGCCTAAAATAGTACCCAATCATAATACTTTCCACTGCTTGTTAAATATAGCCAAATTTTTCATAAGGGGAAAAATTCCACAGTGTCATGATTTTTAAATCAGGTTACACTTATTAATTTGAATAGGAATTTATAGTTGATTCTCATATACTAGAAAGTATACTTTACTGTACTATTAATTATAAATTGTCATCACTTTCAACGTCATTTAATGCGGTAAGACAACTATTTTGCTATATCGTAGTCTGTAATTAGTTTTGCTACATTATTTTCATAGAAAGAAATGCTCTTATAATTATAATTGAACTACGAGTTAAAGTTATCTTACTGGAAGCTCGTTAAATATAGAAAAATTAAAAACTATGATCATTACATGGTAGCCTACTTGATGGTATTTACTCATAAAATAAGGTTTGAACTTATTTATCTCTTGGCAATACTTCTATCGATTCCATAAGAACAATGTTCTCATCTCGTACTTCTTATAATTCTTCTAATGATACTAGCAAATGCTTTCGGTCCGAAGTAGATAAGGAGCAGGCGGGGTAAGCTTATGTTCTACTCCAAATTCGAATTGATCGATTTTGCAGATATATTGTATGGATATTTGTACAGTAATAGTCGCCCAAATACATTACTTACTAATACTTGAAATATCATCTATAAGACTTGCAAACTTACCGATTTTCATGCAGTGACAGCCATTGA